GGGGGAGAGAAATCGCTAAAGAAGGAACGAAGGGCGGAAGCGCGATTTCCTACGCTAGTTGGTAGTAGTCGATACCCATTTTTATCGATGACAATGCAATTTTTATCGACGACGAAACACGATGGAAAGTAAATGGAACCAAAAAAGGATGCATCGCAGTGCCAATAATAAAATGCCATCGATATTTCTATAATCGACGAGGAATATTCTATTCGCTGTCGAGGAATTAAAAGACGGCAACTTATATATGTTCTGCATACACCGATCATGATGATCCTTACGATTATTGATTTCGATTACCAGGATTCTTTTGTATGCATAGCGAGAGCATCGAGTTATCATCAACGTTCAATCGATCGTTGACATCTGTTACATTATCAAGCTTGCGACCAATGTTGATCCCTCATTTTACGTTTGTATATAGCGCTATTAAAGGGATATATACATATAGGAAGGATAAATTAGGGGTATAAGAGAGCGACTTCGCTAGCGAGAGAGGAGATTAAAGAAATCGATCAAAATTCGAAAGTAGGCGGCTTACCGAAGATCAGTCCGTTACATCCTCGATATAGTTCCTTTTCCTATCTCTATTACGCGAACGATTATTGCGACTTCATTATACAGGCTGTATAATAAAGTGTATTGATTTCGACGCTTTGCAATACATCTTGTATAAATATATTTATATATCCATTCCGCTCTAGAAATATATAAGGATCAGTGAGGATACATCGGTTGGAAAAAAAATACTCAATTTTGTTATACTAAAGATACAGCGTGTTCGTGAGAGATTTGTATCAGACAAAATTTTCTTTCTGTAAAGAAAAGTTTATTGGAAAACAAATTATTAAGATTTTATATTATTTACATTTTTCACTGATTCGAAGAAAAATCAAAAATGTTTGTCGAATACTTAATCAGTTATCATAAATTCATCAAATATATATTTTTTAGTCTCATCGTCTGAGAAACGTCTGCTGTAGAAATTGAATAATTACAACTTAGCAATGATAAGTAGAAACTCTACGGACACTCTGTATCTTTTCGACCGATTTGCGAGATAGCTGTTGCTCGACGTTATAACTAATCATGATGAAAGAGCTAATCCGTAAAAGAAAGAAAAAAAAAAGAATTAAACAATCCAATTGATCAAACGAGCAATCAGCCCACGCATAGTCACTCTAAAGTCTAAAGATATCGTTTCAGCGTCTATTTATCGGTGCTACCAGAATGTGCTATCATTGTTTTCGCATCTGTGTATGTCTCGATTTTTCAAATAAAATGTTAATTTTATTACATAAACCCACGGTGTGAATGCCCTCGCCAAAACAATTCGAAAGATGATCGAAACTGAATAAAATACAAGGTATAATGATAATTTCTTTAATTTGTGGATCAAAATAAAAAAAAATAGCAGTACGTTAATAAACGATTGAAAAACGCTTTTCGATCTACACTGAGATTACTGCCGATTCAAAGGGAGTGACTTTCTTCGACAATGGAGAAAACCTGGAGTGGAGGATTTACGAAATTTTTTTGATTTATTTGGCTTTGTACAGATTTGCTACAAATTTATTATTATTAATAATACCATCGTATATTTGTAACGGTGTGGGTAAATGACGTTCTTGCAGCCTGGATGGATCTCTCGCGAGTCCCGGAGACCGATTCGAGCCCCAGACCGTTCTCCGTCTTCAAATCGTATAGGATTTCTTTCCTTCATCTCTCTCTCAGATATTACCGATCCCGATCGATCCCGACGACCGTTTCTCGAATATATATATTTGTATCACGAGCATACACTTCGTTTTACATAAGCTTTGGAATACCCGTGGACATTAGGTACACAACGGCTTTACAATAATTTAGTTTTTATGGGAAACCCCTTGCGGAAAGCGCGGTTGAGACGAATGACAACTATATTTATTTCGTTCATATACAAACTCGCACGATATCGAGAAGCTTACATTAAAAAAAAAAAGAATCCCGTTTCGCCTTTTCCCTCTCTTTCTTCCCCTCTCCTTAAAAAAACCTCCGATAAATACTGTGTCGTAAATTGGCGAGATAGCTAAGAATATCCTTTACGTCTAAGTGTCCTTATGTCTAGTTTCGATCTGCACCGAAGCTTCTGTAACTCTTAATGAGTATCATTATCGTTACGTTGTCTTTTTTATCATATATTATACTTGCACAACATAACAATGTAACGATAATGACGCTGTCATTAAGAATTACAGAATCCGATGCGCGCTGTTTGCGCGTATACCGGATGCGCCAACATCTTCGTGAAAGTGGTAATGTCCTGACAAATTTTGTAATCCAAAAATATTTTTTTTAAATATATAAGAAATAAAAGCTCTATCTTTTTTTTTAGAAATAGAGCATTTGGCGCATCCTGTACGCAAAATAAGAATTATTCAAACAAAAAGTAGCATCTCTGACGTGAAGTACAATTTATCTAGGAAGCTAAACGATATCATCTCACTCCTGTCATTATCGAATTACTTCCGCGATTGTGAAATGAATAATGTAACGAGTACAATTTGTTCGTGAAACGCTTCTGGCTCTCACGAGGAAGTTGATCGCTGGAATAATATTAGATTTATCTAAATCAGAAATCAAAGTTGATTTGATTAGTCTATGGAAATCGTGCGCGCGATCTTCCTATTATTTTTAAATCGCCTGTTCTACTTCGTCCAATTCCAAATAAATTAAACTTAAGCTCGGACTGTCGGGCACTTCGCTTTCCGTTTCAACGAATCTCGTTGATTATTGTTACGTTGTAATTATAGCTCCCACGTTCAAAGCACTCACGTAAATGTACACGCGTCGTTGCCGATGATTCGCATATTATTTTCCCTCTCAATACATTTTATGTAATTATGCTTATTCGATTCGAGCTGATCGAACAACGCGATTAAACTTTATAAAATAAAAAAAATACACGTATAAAGTACAAACTTTACAGAACTTTCTGAAAAAACTTTCTGACAAACTTAAAATCGACTACTATCTTCTGAGAAAATTTTAAAAAATAATCACAGAGGGTGCCGAAATTTCTTCGTTTAACGTTCTTCTAAGCAAACTTTTCGAGTGTCCATTTACCTGGTTCAACAGAATCGCCCGTCCCATTTTCGCGTTACTTATAGAAGATTTGTAGTACGTACAAGAAAATTTACAGATCTTACTCTCCGGGAAATAGCGGAGGTAGCGGAGAAAAAAACGCTCGTCTTCCTCACCACCGCCGTGAAACTTCGCAGTAAGATTACCGCGATCGATATTTTTTTTTATAATATTCTATAATATGTATATTTATATATAATTATATATTTATCTGTGTATACATATATATACATACATATTTAAATACATATATGTAGGTATACATATGCGTACCGGCTTATCTAGAATCGTCGTCATCGTCGTCGTGTTTCGCCAACATCGATGCAAAATAAATCACAATCGTATTTCTTCCTCCCCGTTTACCCTCCGATTGGCAACTGTGTTCCTGCGCAGTTAACAATATACCGTGTTGCATACGCATCTTTTCTCTTGTCTTCTTCCCCACCGAGTTACACGCTAACGAATACGCTAAAAAATATTAATCCTCTCTCATGTTTAGCCGTTCTACGTTTAACAAAGTATTTTGGTTTCTTGACACGACGTGGCGAAAGTAATCACCCCGATTAAGCATAAAAAAAGATTCTCTTAAAAAATGGAGATATTTATCGCATAATGCAGCAATGGTGCATGCAACAATATATCATATGAAACGGTTTGATAAAAGAGAAATGCGGAAATAGAAAAAATTCAGTATATCCGTAAAACTAGCGTGATTACTTTCGCATCGTCTTGCGTATTCCTATCAGCGTCGTAACATGGAAGATCACGACTTGAAAACGGCGAAGGATAAGAAAATTCCGGAGGACTCTCGCGACAAGAATACGAAAGGAGCTTCGATATTAAGATTTTTATCTTACAGTCTCGTTCGAGAGTACCCAGCCCTGCGCCTTTTGGTTTAACTCGCGTCGTCCTGTCGATGGTGTACGCTTTTAACGCGGAGCGCTCATCTCTATGGGATAAGTAGAGACGCTTATATATTATTATTATTACTATTATCTTTATATTATTTATTTATGTGTACGTATGTACGTTGCGTGTGTATGTTATGTGTGTGAGTGAACGATCGCCATGCATCATCGTACAGCATCGTTATGGAATGTGCCGGGAAGGAAGTTCTACCTGGTTCTACCTGGTGTGTCACGACTTCGGCAAGTCGATGTTCACTTTCTCTGTGTGCGCATATTTTTGCCGACAGTTTGAACGCCTCATAACACCATTATTATGACCAGAATTATGACTCATTTATAAATACCAAGCTTACGCGTAGAAATCTAACAATTAGCTTAACATCTTTTTATTTAGTGTTTCTTATATTCTCAAAATTCATATAAATTTATAGAAATTTATGTTTTCTTGATGGATGATTTTATACAATGATTATATAATGATAACATATAAAATAATATATATATTATATTATATATGTATCAATATTCGCAATATTAATATCTAAACTGTGATCTCTGAGATGGTCATACAAGTCGGAAATATGCAGAAGATATTTTAGTTTAAAGCGTACTATTTTAAGGAGACTATAAACGTGGCGTTCAACCTGTCAGCCGCCTCTTCTAGGATTTTCCTGTCGTTCCAGAAAATCCTATAACCTGGATTTACGAATACATTATTAACTAGTGCTTGATCTTCGCATTGTGTTTTTCTTACGAGCTCACGAGTGCTCCATTCGCTGCACTCAAAACTCGAATCGCGATTTGGCTAAACTACATTCGTAATTAAATTGATCGCAATTAGCATGTCTTCAAAAACGTTCTAAGAACAAAGTGATTAAACGATGCTGTTGCTTTGTCGACTGACCAGTCGATTCAATATTGCGGAATAACTTGTGAGACAAAAGTACAACAATATGATTGACGATCCTATAAAGTTGTCGAAACTCAAACACGTCTTTCAAGAATTCTTTTTTCAAAAATTTAACTTCTAATATTTCTATTGTTTTCGAGTAGTATTTTGTGTTCTTTTTGCAGAATGAATTTCTTAACACAAAAGATTAACACAGGATAATGATATCAAGAAAATATAATATCGTTATCATTTCTTCTCGTATTACTAACGCAATGAAAGGCGCGAACAATTATCTCCATTAAAGAAGTTTACGTTGTCTTTGTTTGGCGAGCAATAATAAATTAAGATTCTACCTGTATATTCTCCATAACGAATAATCTTCGTTGAGAGGAGATTGTGTATAATTATGCTTTTATAATTCAGAATTTACTTCGGTACTACCTCGGAAATTTGTAAATTGTAAACATATAATACAATATTTAAAGCGCGTGAACGTTTTGTAATTCCTCGGAAACGAGATATCGGTCACGGAGATACGAGAAGAGAAACGAAATAGATCGGCTCGCTACAGCGCTGGAGAACGTTACGGTGGCATCGAAGCATCAATGAATGAATCATCAGCCGTTTCCCTAGGAGGCAGTAACGGCGGCGGATGATAGGGAGTTGGGTCACGCCAGATTACTCTCCTGCTCGCCCCATCCTTCGCTATCGCATTCGCTCTCTGATGCCGAGTCGCTGTCACTGAACTCAACGGCGACGCGACGCGCCAGAATGGATGCGACGTCATTAAGTGCATTCACGCGTTCCACTTCTTTCTGTTCAATCTTCTCTACCTTGCGTAGTTTTATGCCTGAGAAATAATTGTCTCGAATGAAATAATGTTACTTTCAATTAATGTAGAATTACTTGATATCTAAGATTTTCCAAAATGCTTCTAATGCCAATTTCCACCACAATGTAGATCAACTTTAATCTCGGTTCAACTTACTCTTCGTCTTTTTCTAATCTTTAGAACTAGAAAAAGACAAAAAGCAAGTTGAACCGAGATTAAAATTAATCTACGTTGTGGTGGAAATAGGCATAAGGACTTTATTCTTTTTTGAGTTACTTAAAAATCATAAAATATAGGTATAATTTACCATCACGAATCGCCTTGAGCAAATCATTTCGCGGGTCGACCAATGGGATATTTGGGTTGACCGGTTTCCTTAACTGGCCGTCTACAATGCTCTTCAAAGGCTTTAGTTTCGGCGGATTAGTCGCAATCATCTTCGCGATATCGCCATTTGTCAGCGGCAATGGTGCCGTAGGTCCATTAGCGACCGGTGGAGGAGGTGGCGGTGGTGGAGGTGGCGGGATGTTGTATGGAGGTGAGATGGGTCTTGGCGGAGTGGGATCTGGGGTGGGCGGAGGTGGTGGAAGATCCTGGGGTGCTGGATCTGTCTCATCCGTACCCAATTGGCCTGAATGGTTCGGTGGCGTCGGTGTCGAACGTTGACTTGGTAGCGGACTATCCGACCGACTTCCGCTCCTGTTCAGCAAGTGCGGCGGTATGGAACCTGAAATATTGACAATAAGTTGTACAAAATAAGTTATTACACTCCTTATCTTTTAAAAATAATTAAAAATAATTGTAATATATATATTAATAATTATTTTATATGTTAAGAAGAGATAGTGTCTCAAATATAATTATGCTGTAATTATGCTGTAAATTAAAAATAATGGTTAGCGTAACAAATATACCGTTCATGGAAGGAGGAGACATGGTTTCTCCTGGTGGCGGAGGTGGCGGTGGCAGGGTATCCCTGCCGGTGCTCATGGATCTTCCCCTAGTTGGAGTGTTGTTGGCGGATGCCACTGTAGGCGTGGAATTGCTGGAAGCGTTGCTCGGCGGCGCCGGTGGCGGCTGCGATGGCCGTGCCCTGCCGCCCCGACTCGGAGTACTCTGACCACCAGGACTCTGATACGCATCGCTACCGATCGGTGCCTGACCAGAGGCATAATGCGAACCGTATGGATTCTCATCGTAGCCCTGAGTCATATAGTTCGTTCCCCTGTAACGAGAGAAAATTATTAATTATGTGTAAAAATATAAACCTGTAAATTCTACAGAGTAAAAGAAGTCCACAGTACTAGAAAAATCAAATAAAAGCACAGAATGAAAAGTATTCTGATTATTAATATATATTTTTGACTATCTATTATTTAGAATTATCAATTATATTATTATTATTATTATTGCCATGTCGATATTTTTACCTGTAGTGATCGGAAGACGGCGGGCTGTAGAGATGCTGCTCTTCTGGGGGGTAGCTTCGTCGCAATTCGATGCTGTTGGGCCTAGGTGGCCTGGGATCCGTCATTACCATTCCCAGTAACGCGTCATCAGGTTGCACATTGTGTGGCGCCCTGTATTGCACCGCCTGCGTTGGCATGATATATTCGCCATGGCCAACGGCCAGTTGCCGTTGTCGTTCCCTCGTATTATGTGGTTGCCTCACACGCTTCTTATGCCTGCCACCACCTCCGCCGCCACCCTCATTCCGAGGCCTGTGCGGCTGTTTCGCGAAGAAAAAGGTGGTTTAATATGCATGACGCGAAAGAGACAACGAACAAGGTGCATCGCATGTAAGTCAAGCACAATCGGTTTAATTCAAGAACATCCCGACGATTGATCCAGTGACTGGAGACATTTTTTAGTAAATTTTAGAGTTGCAATTGGATAAAAAAAGAAGTTATCTTGAAATTATTTAAAAGCGATATCATCGTTTCCAAACCAAATCAGAATTTACTGGATCAATAGTTAAGTAGTACATAAATGTATATGTGTAAAAAAAAAATAAAAGTGGAGCCTCATAAAATTATTACTTGTTAATTGTGCAACAAAAATTCATCGTCATGAGAAAAAAAGATAAATATTTTTTTGTTTACGGCAACACTTTTATTTTCTATGTGACACATGGTAAAGTGGAGATGAGATAATCCTGAAATGAACGATGAGACGATCAAGATCGTGAGGGTATCGGTGTCGATCGAAGATGAATCGGTGGATGATGAGTATAACGCATTTCTAAAAAGTACATTCAAAACTTGCATGAAAATTGCAAAGAACGACATTACATAAGTGATCCACAAAATGACGGTAGGTGTGAGAGATTTGTTTCGAGTATCAAAAAACACAACTCAGTTTTCGGAAAGGATAGGAAGGGCTTCGAGTCAAGATCAGGCCCTGCGTAGATGGAATCTTTGCTTCCTTTCTTCTCGATCTCGTCATCAAGAAAGTCGACAAACTTAGGTTTCGACAAGGAAGTCTATTCGCATTCGATCTACGCAAAGTGATATGTCGCCACTGAGAAAACGTGGCTATTAGCATAACTACAAAACTTCGAGAAAGCGAGCATCTAGCATCAGTCTCTATGTCAGCGCGCAAAAAGGTCGGTTAATGAAAGAAAAACCACAAAGAGGGTGATTATGTGATGAGAGTGAAGTGGCGTTCGATCGATTCACTGAAATACTATTGGATGTTTCGTAAGAGGGATATAAGAGAGATTAAAAAGAAACTACAAAGATCCAAACCATCGACTTGCCTCTCTGAACGGTTCGGCATATTCAGACTCGCTCTACAACGAAGGGGACAGTAATTCAATAGTTAGAATCGCAGTATTAGACAGGTTAAGTAATCATAAGAATCTAGTTTGGTCTATAAATTCGCGCACCTCGATAACTTCAAAGATCAATTAAACTTGATTGATTCATAAAAAGATTCAGAAAATTATATAGTATGGATGTTAAATAATACAATAGTTATCGAGATGCGTTTTTGAATGCATTATCCTGCAAGAATTCCTACCTTCTTTCCTCGATCATGTAGTTTCTTTTCCGTGTCTTTGAGCATTTCCTGACTCCACAGGTCAAAGAAGTAATTTGGATCGGTGTAGAACTTCAAACCGTCCTTGCCATCCTCCCTGAAGTGAAGGTAATAATTAATGTCTCAGTTATTACCACATTAAACTATTTAAATTGATGAAAATTAACTGTCGCCGCAAATTACCTGTAAACATTAAGCTTATCTAGGGGCGGTGGCGTGTCACATTGGTGATACGTTTCCAGCATTGCCGTCGGCATAGTATCCCTAGAGACGACTTGCTGATCGAACACCACGGAACTTTTGAAGGCTTTCCTCATGTGTATATCTTGCAATGAGACTGCACAGAAAATAAGAAGACCTCAACATCATTTAAATCTTTATCTTCATAACTTTATTATCTTTCTCTTTTATTTTAATTATTTCGTATAACAGTTAGCTGCGCGAATTGAAACAAGTACGTACCTTCCTCTACGTTACTATCCAATTGGGTGACTTTGACGGCCAGACGATCTATCCTAGCCTGCAGGGAATTCGCTCGATCACTCAATCCGTGCGCTTCTCTCGCCAGCTCCCCGAAGAGATCCTCGGCGTGCCTCGATAGGCTAGATAGTTGTCTGATAGTGTTGGCCAAAGTGCCATTGGTAGCTGCCTCGAGTTCCGATGGCAGCGGGAAGTCCTCAGGGATGGTACCGCGTGCTACGTGCACAGGTTCCACCAATCGCTTCGGGAGCGGCATTTTCGACTTGCCGGCTTGTACCTCCTGATTCCTCTTCGCGGTAATTCACTCACCGCTCTCTCGAGACCTAAAATCGTTCACGATTATCATCAGAAATCCATTATCAGAGCCGAAATTTTTTCGACAAATTACCAGAGTCTAAATATAATTCGATAATAATTACATGTTACGCTTAGGTAGCTGTAACTTTATAATATGATACAAGAAATATTTCAAAAAATTTTTTATATCAATAAAGTAGCATAAAAAATGTAATAGTAATGAATATATTATCTAAGTACAAAGTTTTTGAACTACAGCAATAGAAAAAACAAACACCTCATATAAAATGTAATATTTTATCTTTCAAAGTAAGTCCTTTGTGACATCCTTATTTTTTTATTTATGTAGCTTTATGTATCTTTGATACAAAACCTCGAAACATTTTTTGAAGTCCATAGTTGAAATGCTGTTTTTGGAGCACTTGTCATATTCTTCTCTCTGAAAAGGTTTACCTTTCATAATGTTTTTGCGCTTTGGAAAATCCGAGAGAGCCAAACCATGCCAAGAAAGTCGCATAACAATGTCCTTGCACACAAGGGAATAATATCGTAAAACAGCTAGAAAGGGGTTGTTATTGAGATTAGCCACTCACTTTATTCATCGGATTCGATCCTTTTGGATTGCATGCTGTTCCCAAAGAGTGCGAAAAAATATGATAAAAGATAAATATTTCCGACGTCGAGGACATTTAAAGGAATATGACAAATATTCTGAACAACATTCCAACTACATGGAATAAAGGAAAATGACTTCAAAAAAAGTTTCGAGGCTTTGTATCAAAGAAGATTACTTTAAAAGATAAAATATAACATTTTATTATCTGATATGTCTGTACTTTTGTATTGCTGCAGTCCGGGAACTTCATTGTCAGACTACATATTTTCAAAAATATAGCAGTGATATTTTTATCAACAATATCGATTAATTTCGAATAATCCAACGAGATTTTATTACAATCGTAATAATATCGTTTCAAATGCGTTTGAGAACCAAATAAATTTGAATTATTCAAGGTGTGATATTCACGAATAATTATAGAGAAAAGTTTAATAACGTGAAGCACTCGTGGCTTAAAATTCCGAGGGCAGAGCCCCTAACAAGATGAATGTTTGATCTATCTAGGGACATCCCTTTGACCCAACCCTTGTTACATCCGCAGTATGCAAATAGCAGGAGAGATTGAGTGAGATAAATTGCGAGAATTACCTAAATCTTAGATATAGTCATAAATACATGAAATACATGAAGTTCTGAAAAATTCTTATCAATTCTTATCATTTATTTTTTTCTCTTATCTGCTGGTTCATCATAGTTTTCCACGATTCTCATAAGTGCACGTTGTGCGACGGATTTCGCACACGTATACAATGACACATTACGTAATCGCGGTCACAAGTGATAACGATAATATCTTATCGCACGCTGACTGCTATTAGCAAGGTGACTGTATTGGTCATCGTACTTTTTCCAGCCGCGAATCTGCGAGTAACATAAACGCAATTTTTATGCCGATACGTGATGTAATCGATCATTAATTCGTCATTAAATTAAATTACATCGCGATTATACTTAAAAAAATTAAGTTTAAGAGCTGCATTTCCAATTATATTTTTGATTTTTCTAGTAAGAATAAGGTTTACTTGTGTTACAACTATAATAATAATTACATCAAATTATTTTAAGTTTTTAGAATATTAGAAATTTTAAGTTTAAAGAATCTTATTTATATACGTAATAATTACATTTTATAATTGCTTATTGATGTATCCTTCCTGATTTCGTGAAATCAAAGTGAGGTTTATTTTTTAATGAGCTCTACTTTCAGAATGACGAAGTAATGCAGCAGGCAACTCCGACATAATGTCGATATAATGGCCGTCAACAAACATCGTTTGAACTATCTATCAGGGTCAAGAATATGACCATGACCAAACACGACTTTAATGGTGACGACAAAGTCGCGGCAACATGCGTATCGCTATTGTACCTCCTATTAGCAATTAGCTGCTATAAAACGAGCGAATAGAGTTATGCCGGATGTTGCACCTGCGAGGAGGAGAAATAGAAAAAGGCTCCGATACAGCTAATAATATCCTTTTAAAAGTAGTCCGAAAGTACGACTCACCTATTTTTCACACCTCATTAGTCCCTATATCAAATTTATTTATCAATCATGAAAAAAATTACAATGTGTTGAATCTCAATATTTAAAAAATTACGGATGTAATTATGTTAAGGAGGTTGTAAGGCAAATGCAATATGTTAAGAACTATTTGAAAAAATTACAGACTATTCTAAATTTCATTTAATAATAATACAAAAAAAAATAGAAACAATTGACCATCTGGATCAAAAGTTATTTAAATAAGTAGTAATATTTTTTTAATTTGTACTCTAATATAAATATATGAAAATATATTATAAAATAATGATAAAAATTTCAATTTTTTTATATAAATACTCTAGGAATTCAACAATATTTTTGTAAAGTTATCTTGAGATGCAGACATTAATTGTTCAGTAAATAAATAAAATTTGTTATTTGTTATAAACTAATGGTGAATCTCAATGAAACTTTGCATAAGTCATGTTTAGTACTCAACATATTTATATAAAAACATTTAGATTTTTCTTATTATTTTAACAATTTTTGTTTATAACAATAAAACTAATAACAAATAAAATAAATAACCTATAAAAATGTGTTGCTCAATAAAACCAGAATGTTATGAACACAACTTTCAAATGTATGTAGATTGTTTAAAGCGAAAATATTAATATATGTGTTTTGTGCCCTTACAACCTCCTTACAGCTTCTATTCAAATATAATTGCTTGTAAAGTTGTCATCTTGAAACTCTGACGATGATAATAATAATTCATTCGGAAATAATATCCGAGAATAATAATTCAATAAAAGACTATAAGCCATTTAAAACTGTTACGTTATTTATAAATCTCGCAATAGGTGATATCAAAAACAATATAATGCCACGGTCGATCCTCATGGTGCAGGTCAATCGACCATGTAGGCACGACCGTGAGTCACCATAGTCTTTACCCCTTGTCATGTCGATGTATCTGTATTTCATTAGGCTCCCACGCAGTCAAACAGTCATTTAGCCGTGGAACATAAACCAGACAGAGCGGGATTAATAATACACGATTCATTTCGCGACCGTTGAATCGAAAAAAAAACCAGACCATGTGATAAAATTGCGTAACGAATAATTTGTCAGCGTTACAAAATACTATATGGAATATTGAAGTAATATCTCGCGAAAAATATATAACTATTTCCGGATTACACATGTAGATACTTAATGTAAAAATACGAAACGCAATCTCCGTAACCAACGAGTTGCAGTCGCGTAATTGTAATTATCAAATTTATCGCTGATTCAAACGGCTTCCCGATGTGCAATTAGAAAGTTGCAATTATATGTTAAAATATTAACATATGTATTATAAATTCGTTTCGATTAAACTAACGTCAAAGTTGGAATTTATTTCGATGATATCGCTGACATATATATCGATACCGAATATATATATCTGTGGAAAGCTATTATAATATATTTTATCTCCGTATCGGTTCACCGTATCGGCGTGCATTTAAATGCTTCCTGCTTGCTTGCTAATGCAAACCAGTGCTTATGGCATTCAGATAGGTATCAGTCTGTTAAACTTAAGCATTCGTGCGCTAACAGGAACCGAGCGCGGCCGAGGAGATTCTCGCGTGCGTCTCGTTGTGAATGAAACCGCAGACACGCTGCCGCGTGCAGCGGGCTTGCCATGGATAAAGTATAAGCAGTATCCTGAGGCTGAAAGGTCACTACTACGCCACGGTAGGACTTATCGAGTACTCGCTGCTGCTGCTGCTGCTACTACTACTACTACTACCACCACTCGGCGAGTAGAAACCGGAAAGACTTACTCGCTCCTCGCAACGTGTCTGTCGGTCGTCCGCGTTGCACCTATTTCAGAGTTGCATTCAATCGCGCGATTGCATCTGCATGAGCGTCGCTAACTATATCGCGATACCGTCGCTCGAAGTGTCGAACAAACAAATTCCACGTCGACTCTCGCTCAGGATTGCTCGGGATTTCGAAATAAATAATACGCTGTTTTCTTTGTCGCTGCGCTGTATTGCACTAGAACTTTCTATCCTGCTTTCAAACTTCAAACATATCCGTTTCATTTCAATTATGTACAACGTATTGCATCAATTTATATAAATGAGATTCTTTAAACTTATAAATGATTTGCCATAATAATCGTCAGTTGTAACAAATACTCTTAAATATATACGTAATCTACATAATCTATAATTGTACACAGAGCGATAATTTTACATAATCATGATGTAACACAACATGTATACAAGTGTATACTAGCTCAGCCAAAAGAATATAATGGTTCGGCGAGATTTTCATCGTGAATTTCATTCAAGATCCTGTTCCTGAATTGTGTTTTAAAATTTATTTCATCAATGAATACACATATAAAAAATAAAAATTGATTTAAATAGTAAAAGTAATCCATATATTTCCATGGAAAACTCATGTAAAAAAGAAATTTCTTTACATCTCTTAGAAGAATCGCGCATGAATCACGTGTAACTTTTAGAGTCGTCACGGCCTTGTAAATCCTCGCAACACAGATCTATCTGTAATGCCAATAAATTGTCGAAGGAGTTTTTCAATGGCTTGTAATAAAATGAACCGAATTGCTCAATCTGTTTTAAATTCGCTCGACAATGGTAAACGCGACAAGTGACAATGACCAAGACGCGGCGCTGATTCCACCGATTATTCACACTCGTTCGCGGCTGCATCCTGGTGCACACGTGCGGTTGTTAGAGAAGAGAATGCACATGTCGACCATATGGTCACGCATAAAACAAGTTCGTGTACGCAAGAAGTACAAGGTCACTACCCCCTGCGCATGAATCGATGCAATATTCTGTAACTTTAACAGATATCTCTCTGAGATATTATCACTCGCTCCCTTCCCGCTTGCCTCG